GTCAAGCGTGGGGTGCGGCACGCCACACCTGGGGGTCGTATTGAGGAGTCCAAAGCGGAGGGGGTCGTAGTGGGTAATCTGATAATCGTGATAACATGATATTTGTATCCTATCCATAATTAGCATGTCAAATAACCCTTGTAGGCAAAGTGTGAGCGGATTCTGAAGATTCAAGATACTAGGCTACCTGAATGAAATGGTCAAATTCCAACATGGTTAACTTTGTTTCAAAGGTGAATTAGCAATCCGTTTTTGCACTCAAGACAAAGCACTACTCCTTCTTTGTCCATTTCGAGAATCCCGCTTCAGAAGACCTGCAAACTGTGGAATTAGAAGCCAACCAAAATCTCGTTTTTCCCACTTTTCGCTTTTGATCGCTGTGCTTTCACCAAATATTACTCAGAGCTAAGAAGACGAATCAGGCTCCAAACAGTCCTATGGAATCTACAAGGTTTAGGCTATCGACTCATATAAATACTGTCCGCTAAAAATGTTTTTTTGATATAGTTAATGGGGTGCGGCACACCCCCTCAAAAGCTGCGGCTGCCGCAGCTTTTAAGGGGGTGTGCCGCACCCCCTTAACTTGCCTTCAAAATCCAGAAAGCGCTCCATTGCTGGTATAAGTATTGAGCACATAGCTTCTTCTTGCTACACTGGAAATTTGGAGCCGAACGCCCCACCCATAAGAAAATTATGGCCCTTTCAATATGCCCATTCAGATCAAAATCAGCCGTTAAATTACGTGCGATTGTAAAGTGCAGTCACAGGAAATCGGGCGTACAGCTCTCAGAAATCTGAAAACTCTCTATTGAAAGCTGGTGTCCTCCAGAATGCACACTTTGAGGTCCAGAGGTTAAGAGGAGGAAGAAGGGGTCGTTTGAGGGCTTTCATGGGAGGGGGGGGGGTTGTTTTCGAAAGAATTGTGCCTGACCTCTTTCTCAGCTCTGGTAATGCTATCTTAGGTATATAGTTTAGGAGAGGGGGTGGGGGTCTTATTAAGACAGCAATCAGGGGGGGGGGGGTCGTAACCAGCGACCGTGTGCCACACCCCTTGCTTGACTCTGTCATGACTTTCTATTCTATCCTATGCATTCCATCGCGCCGTCCCTTCAATTCGTCATTTAAAGAAGCGTTGGCACTTTTGGGAAGAACCGCGAGCATAAAGGTCATCCATGAATCATAGACCGAACAGACACTTTAGAACGAGTACCATCAATCATCATCAATTCTCCACAAATATATCTAAGTCTTGCTCCTCTAATTGGATTTTCAAACTCTCCTTCATAATCAATAAAGACCCAAAAAATCATTTCTTTCCAAAGGAGCAAATCGCCTTTCTTTCTTCTTCCAAAGTTGCTAACAAGGGAATGGTCAGAAATTAAAGTGGCTAATCGAGACAAGCTGCATGCCATTAGATGCAGCATAGATCTTTGATTTGGAATCTGTATTCCATATCTGGTTAGCATCCTTGTGGACGAAGTTGTGAGCCGTTAACAAATTGGCGACAGTGCAGATTTTAGTTGTCTGCCTTTTGGGACCAAGGCCTTTTTACAGACCAGCCCACTTTTTCAACTATAATTACGTATACTGTCATCTACATTACACCTACAGTAGGTCCGAAAGGCTGACAAAAAAGGTAAAAGTCATTCCTAGATTCTGTGCAAAAGAAGGCCATGGAGTGAGTTTATTTCACGATAGCAGTCATTTTACCAAATTTCAAGCCTTGACACACATGGTGTGTCAAGCGGTCCCACGCGGTAGTGATTGCTTGACACACCATGTGTGTCAAGCAGTCGTCAATGGGGTAGCGGAACGAAAGCCGCCAGTTTAAGCCGCCTTTCGCGGCTAACTGGTCCTTTCGCAACGTTGTTGCATGTCGTTCCGACCAGCAGTCCGCGCAGGCGACCGAAGCTGGCGGCTCGTTCCCCCACCCTCATCAATGTGTTAAAAGCCATTATTTTGCTAAGAAATTGTGCGTGCAAAACGCAAAATTGGCAGCACAGAGCCATGTTCGGCTTCATGCTGAACCAAATCATGCAGCTAGGTTACTTCATATTTTTGAAGCCTAAAGGTGAGCTGAATGTGCAACAATGTGTTCAATCTCGCAATTTTTATGTGCGATTTTTCGCAGTAAGACTGCTTATAACTTTGTCCACAAAGGCGCTAAGCAGATACAACTTCAGATTCGAAATCAGCGTTGAATGCTGCATCGAATGCTACGCTGCTTGCTTGGATTGGCCACTTCGACTTCTGACCATTCCGTTGTAAGCAGTCCCAATAGAACTCAGTAAGTATTACTTCCCAATGTCGTCGAGGCCTCCCTTATTCGGTTAGTTTGCCTGCCACTTTCAACTCTTTCAGCCTTTTGTAGCATCACGGATATCGCTGACAAAGCTCAAAGTCAAAACATAAAAGAGGTTTTCATTTGTGAATACCTTCATGTTCTCTGCTTAAGGTGATGACATAGGGATCCTGGCACGCAATATTAAATAGGTTTGATGGATTCGAGTGGAAAATCGATGACTACATAGAAATGAAGAACTGCGTTCATTTTCAAATATATGATCCCAATAACTAGTTGACTGAATTACGATCGACATCGCGATGTCAATATTCGAGATTCCGTGCTTGACAGATAAAGCGCTTTTTTATTGGTTAGACTATAGAAGTACCAAAAGACTAATTTCTTCGCGCTGACAGTTCTTACAGTTCACAATGTAATAGAATTGGCAGGAGAAGAAAAATTTCCAGCGACTTTTTTCATTTCGTATGAAAAAAAATTGTGCTGGTTGCATTGCCTTTATTCCCTGTATCAAATTGCTTTACAGGCAACAAACATCTGTCAATCACTAAGGCGTAGAATCGTAACTACACCATAGACAACTTCTCATCTATGACTGAACACAGTTAGGGCATAGATTTTATCGAAAGCAGAAAAAGAACACTGCTCAGCCACTCATATCGTAGGCTTCATAAAATGCCATAACCCGTTTTTGAAACTCAAA